GATTCCTTGATGCGCCTGAGGGCCCCGCAATGGTGGCCAAACACGTCGGGTAACTTGGTCAGCAGGATTCAACCGTCGATTGTTGACTTCCTGACAACTCCCTGGTGAGTCCCCAAATCGCGACAACGAACCCCCCTCCACACCTACTCCCCCACACTGCGGGGGCAACCTTCTTTGCAGCCTAGCCGCCCCTCCTTAGCCCAGCTGCCGCTGCTTGGCAGGCTATAATCAGCCGGCCACAACTTGCGGTAGTATGTAGAGGTACGTGGTAGCCACTTGCAGGCAACAACAGTATGCGATCTCCAGCTGCTGACCCTAGCTCGTGTGCACAGTCAATAGCCGTCGTGGCCTTCCGGGTACCGCAACCAAAAGCGACGGTCATGCCCAGTCAAATACTTCAGCTACGGTTCGAGGCTAGGCTTGACCGCTGCAGATCTCCATACAGCGCATGGGCACCTACAACGACTAGGTAGGTAAGGCCTCAGCTCTGCGACTGTCCCCCGCTTCGGACCCCGCCTATGTCGGTCGGTCTGCAGCTCAACTCCAGGTAAGTGCCCGTCTCCTGCCAAGTACGTGAAGAAGGGAATGAACCTTCTGCAAAAACCTGGGCAGACCCACCCTCCCCGTCGTGCTCGCTGCTTCCTTCGGCGGTGGCTACTTTCGCTGGCCCGCCGAGCAGTGCACCTTGCTAACAGGCGAGCTTCGAGCCCATGCGATCGCTTCACACCACTCCTGCCAAAGGACCGAGCAGCACCTGATACTATGTCTCCCCAACTCAACGTGCAYAGTAGCMAAACCCAGTRACAGTRGACATGGGCRTGGGAAAACACAGTCAATGCAAGAAGGGGGTACGATGRATACACAACCARCCACCAATCCGCAGTCCTGCACAGTTCCGCAGAGTGCACCCGCTGATCGGCCAGTCAACARCCCGTCATCATAACTCAAYGTTCAATCCACCATGCACAGTCTATTCGTTCCTTCTTGCTGCAGACAGCCGTACCACGCCAGGTCCGCGCTCCTCCCCTTCTCACATGCGAGCGCACCTAGCCAAGATACCGGGCAGATTCCCACACTGCCAGCTCAGCCATGCCTACGGAGAGAGATAGCGGGAGGCTACTTCCCTCGTCGGATTCTACTATACATCGCTAACAGGTAAGTCCCCTACCCCACACTCACCTCTCGTTACTCCTGTCAGTGAACTAAGCAAAAATCGAATGAATCTTCTGCTAGAACACGGAAATATACATGTCACTTCAAGGGAAACGAAATCCCCCCCCACGTTCGGCCCCCATGCTTCGCATCACCAAACCTACCCCTCCACCTTCCAATCCGCCTTCACCTCTCATTTCGCCTAGCTCCAGAACCCCCGGTTAGCATTTAACTTCGCTCGATTCCATCGCGGATCGAGCGTCATCCTCGTGTTCCTACTCTCACCATACCTCCCCACACGACATCACCGCGCACCTGCTTTTACTACTAACTCCTATTATACTAACCTTCTACTAAATCCGACTCCAGATCCTAGCTCGCCCACCTCGAAAACCCCCAATTTGAGTCTTCGTTCGTTCGTTTTCATCAAGAAACGAACGAGATCAGTATTTCCTCCTCCCGTTCTTTTCCACATCGGCCATAGCTCGACGCACCCCTGTTGCTACTAACCTCCCACCCTACCAACTAATCGGCCAAACTGACTTCATACTCGGATTCACACGACCGAAAAACCTCTGTCTAGTATCTACTCTCGCCTGATTTCGCTAAAAAACGGGCGAGCAACAGCCTTCCCACCTCATCATAGCTCCTCGCCCTTTCCAGCTTCCGTCTGTATGCACCTGGCGCGTTTTAACGCCCAGGTCCATTCTCTCCTACTAGATGCTCAGCGCCCGTCACTGCGTCTACCAGTCCACCCCGCTGCTGCGCATCGCTACCCGCTCGGCCCCACCGTCTGTCTTTCACCATCTGCGCCTTATCTCCTGGCCCCCTCGCCACTCGTAGCTCCTCCCGTCACTACTCCCTCTCACCCGCACATATCCAACACACCTCCGCGACCGGGTTCGCTCACCCCTCTCCTCTTCTCTACACTCTGCGGCTTGCCCATCGGCTCCACCTCGCCTCCCTGTTGTCGACAACAGCTCCCCGATACCGCGCGGCCCTGCAGCGCCCGATTCCCCAAAAAAGAAAATCCTTCAACTGTCGGGCCGTTCTTACTTATACGGCCCGCCCGTCCGCCTGGCCACACTACTCTCCCCTACGTCCCCCGATGTCCCCCCCGCCAAACGTCCCAACGGGTTCGGCCGGGGTGGTGCCCCGTGGCGGCGCCAAAAGCCGCCCGACCTCTTCGACTTCGGCCTACCGGTGGGTGAGGGCACGCACCTTTCCCCGTCTGCGTCCGGGTTTATCCCCGGGCCTCCCCACACCGCCCCTACTCCAGATCCTGCCGGCCTCCCCCGTATGACCCCAGCCTTAACGGCTGCCCCGACGAACCCTGACTTCGCGACAATGCCGGGGCTATTCGGCTGGTGCCTTGACGGTTCGGGAGCCGCGTACCCACTGGCTAGACCCTCGGCCCCGAGCCGCCGCCTCGATACCACGCCCCCTAAGCCAAACGGGGCCTACGGATAATAAAAAAAAAACAGTAACACATATCTATACATGCGGTCCTAACAAGGGCGGGAACCGCCGGCACCCCACCAACCCGCGGATCGGGCCCGTCGTCGCATCTACCAACAAAACCAAGGAGGGATAGCCCCGTCGGGCCCTCAACCCCCTTAGCTCTCCTTGACGCTCCGCCGATGCTTCACCGGCCCTCGATCCCTGCACCTCCGCCGCAATAGTCCAATACCGTAACCAATAGGGCTAAGCCCAAGCCTGATACAACAAAGCGCGAGCTTCAATGTGAAGCGGTGCCGCGTCGTGCCGAGGCCTGGGAAACAGCCTAGGCCCTCCTTTCCCACCTGCAACCGGCCCGCCAACACTAGGTACCCGCACCGGCCTACTTGGACCGCGCCGTCAACACCCCGTGTGCCTAGCGGCGTGCCAGTCCCACCGTCGGCCACGCACACCACCCAAGAACGACTTTCATCCCCTAAACAAAAACCGCAACATGGCCCAGGTCGGTCGACTAGACCGGCCACTCCCTCAACCAGAAAAATCACACGCGCGCCTTAAAACTGCGCGCCCACATACCCTCTAACTTAGTCAGGACGGGCCCCGAACTCCGTCGCACCTCGCCCGGCTTATGCCAACCAAACCCATTTTTCTGTCATTTGCAAAAACCAGGGCGAATACCCTTGTAAGGGTATTCGCGCCGACATCGGGCCATACTCGGATGGCCTTGATCTTGTCTGCGAGCGGACGGATGCCTTGGGGCGTCACAAAATGGCCCAAGTACTCGAGCTCTTGACGCGCGAATTTGCATTTGTCGCGGTTGGCTTTGTACTTGGTCTGTCGTAGCCGTTCCAAAACGGCGCGCAGGTGCTTCACATGCTCGTCCAAACTCCGACTGTACACCAAGATATCGTCGAGGTAGATGAGTACAAATTTGTCCAGCATGTGTCGAAACTCCGTCGTCATAGCCGCTTGGAACGTGGTCGGGCCATTCCTAAGGCCAAAAGGCATAACCAGCCATTCGAAATGCCCATATCGAGTCTTGAACGTGGTCTTGTAGCGGTCCTCCTGCCGGATCTCGAGTTGGTGATATTCCGATTTGAGGTCAAGTTTGGAGAAAAAATTAATGCTGCCCAACTGTTCGAGAAGGTCGTTGATGCGCGAAAGAGGGCCGATGTTCTTGACGGTTTGCGCATTGAGCTTACGATAATCGATGCCAACCGCAAGTCCTTGTTCTTCTTCCGGACGAAGAGAACGGGAGCGCCGTATGGCGAAGAGCTAGGCCGAATCCAACCTTTCTCAAGAAGGTCGTCGAGTTGTGCTCGTAGCACACTTAACTCTTCCTCGCTCATGCGGTAGATGCAAACACGTGGAGGTACGACCCCGGCCTTGAGGATGATCTCGTGGCGGATGGGCCAATCCGGTACTACTCCATGCGGGGCTTCAAACACGTTGCCGTAGGCGTCGAGAAGCTCGGTGATGCGTGGGTCTGTCGATGCGTCCGTCGATGGGATGTTATGGGGAGGGAGGGCGTGGAGAAAACACACACCCATCTCCTCGATGTCGTCCCGGGTGATGGAAGCTCGAATGCTCGCGGCGGACACCACGTGATAACTGATCGAAGGATGAGGAGGAGGCACCGTGTATGGGACTAGTACTCCGTTCCGATCACGAATGTGAACGGTGCGGCGGTAGAAGTTCATCGGGTGGTCCTGGCTTCGCAGCCATGACATGCCCAAAATCATGTCAAACTTGGTGTCCAAAATGTCGAAGGACACAACCTCGCTTGCATGCGGGGCGAAGTACACGGGGACAGAATCAATGCACCGGTCGATTGACTTGTGTGTGTGACCGTCGGCCAATGTGACTTGCGTGGGCTACGACTTCCGCCAAACGCGTGGCCCAAGGCCAGCGCATACCATAAAGTCTTGGCTCATATAGTTGCGAGTAGCTCCGCAATCGATCAAAGCGCTGCAGGTCGCCTCTCCGATCTGAGTGCGTATGTACAACAATGGCGTGTCATTGTTGTCGTACCGTTGTGTCTTGAACTCGCGATCGATCTTCGCAACTTAGTCGTGAAGGTCAACAACCTCTACTCCCGCGTCCATCAACGGAGCTGGTACTGCAGTGTGCAAGTAATCCTGTAATTGTGCCATGAGCACGTTGCAATGCGGTTTCGGCAATCGATCGGTCGGGGGAAGGGGCATCCATTGGAAGTCCACGAACGCCAACGGGTTGAGTCTCTCAAGCTTTGACCATGGCGTCGAATCCTCGGCGAAAGTTGGCGACGAAGCTGCTGAATCGGTTGTCGATGGTGGTGAAACCATGCATGTGATGGATTGTTGCACGTGGAGTGGCTGGTCCAACGGTGGGACCAAGTGGACAGTGTAATCCTCGTAAGTGAACCGAGGACTCGCAACATCCGCATTCTCCCCAGATGTGTAGGAGGCCGCCAGCAAGGCGGCCGAATCTGGCGGAGTGAGAGGTGGAGTCGCCTCTCCTCTTGCGCAGCTCAGTTTCCCGAGTTGATTCGAGGTCGAACATCCTCCTTGCCTTGATTTTGGCATAGGGAGGTCTTGTGCCTGGTGTTGTTGCACCAATAGCAGCAGCCGTATTGGCTGCGGTACTTGTATTCGGCCTCAGTCAAGTTGAACTTGACCCATGGTACTGGTTGTCCATTTCCGGCCGGCGATGCAGTTTTAGCCTTCCCTTTTCCACGGGAGTTGTTGCTTCGCGGCTGGACAGCGGCCACCTGATCTCCCTCACGTGGTGCTGGGGTCATTGTCAAGTCTTCCACAATGTTGTCCGGTTGGACAGAAGCAACGGGCTGCGGACGCGGACCAAATTTTCCTTTCTCCGCATGGGCTGGCTTCCACGCTGACTTCTCGTGTGCAGCAGCCCGGTTGGTCTTGATGATCTCACGCGCCTTGTTGATGATTTTGGCGAAGGTCGTGTACTGTTCTCGATCATCGAGTGCGAGGCTCAAGGCGGCACACGACCGGTTGTAGAACTCCCGACACAAATGCGATAATGGTAACTCGAGATCGGGTGTTGCCACGATCTTTTGCCATTCTGTGAGCCAATCACGTGTCGGTGTGTTGCCTTGAGTCATGGCGAAGAGGCGGTTGATGGCGAGCGTTGGGGCGTCGTCCACAATGAACCGCTTCTTCCATTCCTTCGTCATATCGTCCCAAGAGATCTTCTTGTGCAGGTCGGAGACCTGGACGCCATGGATGGTTGCCATGTGGCTCAGCCAGATCTGGCATCCACACTTGGCGTTGAGGAACAACGCCGAGATGTACAAGTGATTCGGGACCTCATGAATCCCAATCTCCTTTGTAAAGCCTTGCCACCAGACGACTGGGTCCTGATGCGTATAGTCATCAAACTTCTCGATCCAGAACGTCGGCATCTTGTACAGCCTCGATGCACTGGTGCTGCCATTGTTGTCGGGCGGCTGGTGTACTTGCCGAACCTCGGTCTTCAAGGTGTCGAGCTGCTCGCTGATGGTGGCTGGTGCGGCGAAGGTGCTGATGTCGCCGAGCATTGCGACTACATCGTCAACTCATTGCTCCAACTGGCGAGTTGAGGCTGCATTGCTGGGTCACCAGCATCTGGTCCTGGTGCTGCTTGCTTTAAGTCAGGTACATGGGAATGAAGTGCCCGTGTAACATCCTCGTGCAGATCCTTGTGGTTCCGCACTGTCCGTCGGGGATTCGCCAGCTCGGACTGCAGTTGGTTACAAGTGTAAACCAACCGGGTCAAGAGTTTGGAGAGAAACTCCTTGTGCTGCTCTTCCGGTGTCGCGTCGTCGTGGCCCTCGGATGGTTCAAAATGCCAGAACTCGAGCCTGTCGACGCTGGCGGGGCTTCGTGCCACTGCAGCAGATCCTGCGCCTGGGCATCTGCGTCAGCTGTGGCCTGAAGCCACTGCTTTTCAGCTGCTGCTTCCGCTTCAGCCTGTAGGCGGGCAGCCTCAGCTGCCGCCTGGGGCGGTTCCTCAGCCTCGATCAGTGCGAGCTGAGCTTGGAACCACTATCGGTACTCGACAATGGACTCGTTGGCCAGTTGGCCTGGCATGCCCAAAACTGAAACCGTCATGGTGGCAGGGCACTGCTGACGTTGGTACTGCTGCTGTCGTGGCACTGTTGCTGACGTGGCACTGCTACTGATGTGGCACTGCTGATGTGGCACGGCTGCTGTCGTGGCACTGCTGACATGGCACTTACCAAACCGGGAATGCAGACAAAAGGGCTGGGTGGGAGGAAAATGCAGGAAGGTAACAAAACTGCACTTTCCATTCCCGGTCCTAATCAACAGAACAAAAATAAAAGAACAAAAATAAAAGAAGAGGATCACCCCCCCTTTTTTTTTTTTTTTGAATATCTGTCAATCTGCTATCAGTGAGGCATTACGGAGGAGCGCTATGAACTCGATCTAGGCAAGGTTTCGCAAAGTTTCGGCTTTAAAAAAAAATGCGATCTTGAAAAAAAAAAATTGCGCGAAATAGAATTGAGGTTCCACTTTCAGAGAAGAATAGATCCAGTCCGAGCATATGACAACCTCCCTAGTTCACCTAATATGCCCAGAGTGAAACAAAAAAACGAAATGCTAATATCCGAAGTTGCGAAAAAGAAAAAAAAGTTGCAGAGATTTGACGAAGCCCTACTTGATTCACTAATAATCAATCAATCAATCAATCAATCAATCAATCAATCAATCAATCATTCAAACAATCAGTCGATCAAGCAAGCTGGCTCCTTGATTGGACGGATCCTCTGATTGAGAGGTCCGCTCCGATACCAAACTGTTACCGTAACGGTACAGACCAGAACAAGAGCCAACCTCTCTCACATAGTACAGGATAGCGCAGTGGAAGGCTAAAATACCAATGATCAGAGCAATCAATGTCGCAATGCAGACCAAACATACATCATCATCATCGCAAGGTGTGAAGGGGCCTGGCGCTCACACAGGAAGAATGCGCCAGTCCCAAACCATACACAGACAAGGAGGAGGGGAATCAAATGAAGAAGAGGGGGAAGATGGGAATGTCGTCAACACCAAGTCTTCGATATAGACCCCAAATAATCCCTCGTCCAATGTCTCGGTCCTAATGTTGAGTCTGAATCCCACTGTCGTCAAATCTCAAAGTCGCAAATCTCTCTATTTCCCGTAGTCTGTAGGTGCTGAGAAGTCAGGTAGCGAGAGGGAGAGATGGTGGACTTAGAGGAGGAAGAAGAAGAACTCTCTCTCTCTCTCTCTCTCTCTCTCTCTCTCTCTCTCTCTCTCTCTCTCTCTCTNCTCTCTCTCTCTCTCTCTCTCTCTCTCTCTCTCTCTCTCTCTCTCTCTCTCTCTCTCTCTCTCTCTCTCTCTCTCTCTCTCTCTCTTACCTGTGAAGGTGGCGCCTTGTTGCAGGTACATTGAAGCCGAAGCTGGAGCTATGGCGCCACAGGTAAGTCTCCCTGGCCTCCGCCAACTCTCTCTCTCTCCAACGCTATTCTAAGCTCCTAACAGCGCCCAGCGCTGAAGATTACTCCTAGCGCTAGATACTACTACTGCAACGCTCCTGCCGAGTGCTGCGGCCGAATCCTGAAGACTGCCTCCTGCACTGCCAGTGAAGTGCCCGTGAAGTGCCCGTGAAGTGCCCGTGCAGAGCAGACCAGTACTATATAGTGCTGGTCTGGCTGGGAGGCTTCTCTTGCCCATGCCGAATCGTGCCAGACCCTGGCGTTGATGTTCAAACAAAGGTTGTCTTGAAACGGTCCTAAAAATGGCCTGCGCTTAACCCTGGTCTGGCGCCTCATTTTCAGGACAGGTCGACTTTATGAGGGCCTGAAAATGGCCCTCCTTTTTAGGCTTTTAGGCTGAAACGACACAGGGCCTGGAGGGCCCTTATTTTCCGTCTGGTCGGGCCCTGCAGGCCCGTGTGGATGCGCAGTATGCCACAACTGCTTTTGTCCAATGTGGACCCTTACAGTACCGGAAGCTTCATCGAGGACTGGACCCTTCCAATACCGGAAGTTTCATCGAGGGCTGGACCCTTCCGATACCGGAGGCTTCCACCAACTTCCATATGTGTGGGCCGTTACTTCAATGCCTGGCTATCTAGTCACCTGGGCCTATAGTCAGGGCCCAGCGGAATTTCCGTGTGACTGGTCCTCCTTAGGGCCAAGGCAATTTGATGTGGGCAGCCCACGCTAACGCCACCGAGGCCAAGAGGCCTTGCATTTATGAATATCCATGTTAAATATAGAAACAATTATTACTTGGTAAGCAAAGACTGTGCTCTTCTCTACTTGGTTAATGCTTCAGCTAGCTTTATGCAGTATCAAGATAATGTTCCAGACATTTCCAAATGCCTGTCATCCTCACAGCCTTTACCAATAAGAATATCCATGTATTATGATGTAGATGCATTATAATCATATTTATTAACATTTCTGTAACTCACTCACTCACTCACATTTCTGTAACTCACTCACTCACTCACACACACACACACACACACACACACACACACACACACACACACACACACACACACACACACACACACACACACACACA